TGTATTTAAACCCACCTGTTGTCTGTGTTCCTCGTCGGGTCCTTGTCTATCGTCGTTTGTTGTCGTAGTTCGCCAGTAGAACTGTAAAGTCCTGGTTTGTCTAACGTCTCAGTTTTTGTGTTACTTGCGCTCCAGTAGAACTGTTTAGTCCTGGTAGTGTCAGCCCTCGTGTCTAGTCCTGTGATTCAGTTGCTACCGGTACTTAGCTGTGTGCTAGTTTCTGCCGTGCTGCCTGTATGGACTGTAGAGCTTTATTTTCACCATTAAATTCATCTTCACCATAACCTGGGTTCTCTGCGTCATCTCCTCACCACTTCAACCCCACCTTATGACAGAAGGACCCGACCAGCACCGGTGAGGAACGCCAACATGGACCCAGCAACCACTGCCACAGCTCTACCCGTTTACCCATTCCTCAAATCAAAAGACATCTATAACATCGAGTTCGAGGAGGACTTCAGTTACCTGTCTAGCATGTTTCACGCTGATCCGTTCATGCTGGATTTAATTCAAGAAATGCACGAAGAATTCCTCATAAAGAAAGTATTCACCACACCTGTCAGAGCTCCGTCACCCCCGCCGTTCATGCCACCTCCGTCAGTCCAGGCATCCACTCCAGCCACCACTATCTGCCCGTCACCTCAACCAGTTCCTGCCTCCTCTCCAACCGCCGCCATCAGCCCGTCTCCTGTCGCCACAGTTCCCCTGGTAGTGGGGTTCCAAGCAGCCAGGCTGGCGCCCGGGCGGCAGGCAGCACGATTAGTGGCGTGGGCCGCTCCAAAGTCTCCCGAGTCTGCTGCCGGAGCGCAGCCGCCCGAGCTCCCCGAGTCTGCTGCCGGAGCGCAGCCGCCCGAGCTCCCCGAGTCTGCTGCTAGAGCGCAGCCTTCCCCCGAGCCAGAGCTCCCCGAGCCTGCTGCCGGAGCGCAGCCTTCCCCCGAGCCATAGCTCCCCGAGCCTGTTGCCGGAGCGCAGCCTTCCCCCGAGCCAGAGCTCCCCGAGCCTGCTGCCGGAGCGCAGCCTTCCCCCGAGCCATAGCTCCCCGAGCCT